GAAGGTGCCTCTGCCCGGCTAGTTGATGTTAATGCCTCTGGCCGGCTGGTTGTTGTGCAATAAGATGAGAGAGGCCGAAGTACTAACGTGAATTCCGCCTGAAATTTTTGCAGAGAGTTAGGCGAATTACGGAAGGTTCCAAAGCCGGGCGAAATCCTGTAAGAACAATCACTGCAACCTAGTGACTCATGCCCAGAACTTACTTAAATTGTGGAGGGAACACTTTTTCACCCTATTGAATGACACCAGCACAAAAAGTTGTGGAGAAAGCGATTCCGAGCTCCAGTCGATGACGCTGGAGTCGATGTCCAAACGTTTGAAAAACAACAAAGCTGCTGATAAGATGCATGCATCAACTCTTATGCCGAAAATGGTCAGATGAACGCATGCCCGACAACTGGAATTTAAGTGTGTTTTGCAGAATCTACAAGAAAGGCGACCCCGACATACGCACCAACTACCGCGGCATCAGCCTTCTAAGCATAGGTTACAAGGCTTATCGAGCGTATTGTGTGAAAGACTGTAGCCCACTGTCAACGAACTGATTGGATCTTATCAGTGTGGCTTTAGACCTGGTAAATCCACCATAGACCGGGTATTCCTCTTACACCAAATCTTGGAGAAGACCTGCGAGAATAGGATCGACACGCAACATCAATTTGTCGATTTGAAAGCCGCTTTCGATAACACGAAAAGAAGTTGTGTTTATAGGTTTGTTCGTCGAGCAAAAAATTTGTACGAATTTGTACGAATTACCACGATTTTTGCCCAAATCGCGTTCGTGCAGACCAAAAAATTATCCAACACTCAAAAATTGTGAGAGCAAAGTGACAGTTCTCTTGGAGAGAAGTTGCAAATTCTTGCTGGAAAAAATTTTGCCAGCAAGAATTTGCAAACACGAAAAACATGTGGTTGTGGCGCATGGTTGCATTTTTGTCTACAATAATTTGAATAAATTAGTTCGTTAAATTTAAAAATTTATAAACACGAGCGATTTTTTTATGAAAAAAGGAAGTAAATAATTGTTGATATAATTAATTTAGTTAATTCCAATGATTTGAACTTAATTCGGCTGAAAAAAATGGTATTCGCAATCGGAATGCAATTGCAACCAGAGTCGATTTAAGAAACCCGACAGCTAGTACGATGAAGAAATTGAAATGTATGTTAAAGAAAGTCAGAACAACAAGAAATATACATGTATAACCTGTTTTTGGCCATCCGAAAGAATTTTAAAAATTCTATAAAAATTTTTTATGTTTGAAATGCAACCGTGGACGCCAGCTGGCAGCGAAACTTGCAAATTCCTGCAAATTTGCGTTCGTGCAGAAATTTGCAAGTTTCTCAATATGAGAGAGAATTTGAGAGAATTTTTTCTTACTCTCTGATATTTTGAGTGTTGGATAATTCTTGCTGGATTTTCGACGAACAAACCTTATGCCGCGATGTCAGAATTTGGTATCCCCGCCAAACTAATACGGCTGTGTAAAATGACGTTAAGCATAATCATCAGAATTGGGAAGGTCCTATCCGAAACGTTTGATACCAGTTATAGACAGAGGAAGAATAAGAAGACGGTGAGGCTATTCCAGCACGCATAACTAAAAAAAATGTATTTGCATTATGACACTCTTGCATTAAATGTGCGATATGTTTCTGTTGCAACAAAACAAAGTAGCTTAAGTCGGATAGGTTCCTTCAATATACATATGTAGATACATATATAACTAGCAAGAAATTTTGTAATCAGACTTAATGAAAATATTAACAGTCTTGCTGGCAACAGATTTATATATTTCTTTCACGTAATCGCACGCTGCGAATGGTTCAATATGCTAAACTGAACCTGCTGACTTATGCTACTTTGTTTTATTGCCACAGACACAGTTGCCATTTTGGCCGAAATGTACCATTTTTGATACATTTCTTCTAGTTTGATAAACTGGTACATAACTTTCAGATTTGGTATATTTTTGAAATCTCGTAAGAGAGAATTGTTACCTATTTTTTACCAAATAGCCATATCACGTTCCTTGATATATCAGCAGCGTTTCGCAATACATAATACGAAGCAAAATCTAAGGTCATAGCAAGAAGTATATTTCTAATGTAATTACTATAAGGCAGTAGAAATTAGGAGGCAGTAGGCAAGTGCTCCTGGAAGCTGATCATCTACGTGGTGACTATTTATAATAACTATACAGAGAGTTGGTCTTAAGGAAGCTATGTTCCAGCATTATGAACAAGTTCACAAAACACGCGAAAATCTGGTGTATTAACTATATCATCGATGTGTATTTATAAAATGTTTGTATAATAATTAAATCTAAAGCTAAAACATATTTTGGTACGTTTTGTTAAATACTGGTACAGTTTTTGGTACTCAAAAAAACAGGTGAGTGGCAACCGTAGCCACAGATATGTATGTACGGGCCAATTCGTAAATGCATTACTGCGACACTACTGCAAAAAACAGCCCAATTTATTTCTAAACTATAATTGACGGAGAAGTCCAGCATTCGTAAACACGGTTAAATGGCGAAGCGGAACTAAACTGCAAAAAGAAGGCAGCAGACGACAGTCGGGTCTACGTAACCGGAACGACCCAGATTTATATCTGGCCAAGGACTGTCACTCCAGCAACACTCCCCAAAAAGTTTTTGGGGAATTTGTATGCTGCTACAACAACAACAAGCAAAAAGAAGGCATCTCTATGAACTATAGTTTATGAACAAAGGGTTTAGTTATTTGCAGTAGCACTGCGGGTTGCATTACCAAATAAGCCATACGCTTCGGTTTTTTGCTTATGTTGAACCTCCGATACCAGTTTCTATGGTGCAATGGCCTCCGGCCTAAGCATTTTTCGAAAAAAATCTACTATTTCTGAGTGGCAAACGTTAAACATGAATATTAAAATAATATATTTTTTACACATTTCCGCAGTACATATGTACATATGTATGTATGTATATATCTACATATGTAGGCATCTTGCCAAAACTAATACATGCTCAAACATACATATCATGTATGTATATAAATAAAAGTGCCCGCCACAAAATTTATACAAAAAAAGTTGATAAAATTATTCCCTAGCAAGCTCGAAGAACTGCTATCTTAAAAAGAAAAAAAAAACACGAACATACAAACCATTTGAAGTAAAAAATTTAGGACTTCCGGTGGTGAAACGAGCGCAAATCATACAGTTGGAGACCTTCAAAGCAGCCAATCAAGACGTTGTGAAATATTGAAAGAAAAATATGTGTATTTTTAAATAATCTAATATAAATTTATAAATACACAACTTATCAATCATATACAATATACTTATACATATGCATGTACTTTTGTACACTAAAAATATATACCGCTGTGCATATATTTTTACAAACGGATCTGCAAAAATTTGTAGCATACTTCATGTTTGTACAGATTTCTTTACAACTACGCAAATATACATACATACATACGAGCATATGTATGTACATTCATATACATATTAAAATATCAAAACTAATAAAAAAGCGCAAGTTGTTATCTTTTAAGAAAATAGTGTCGCGAATTCCATGGTTCCCTCAAGCGATTGGCAACTAAATATTTAACCTCCGCCTAGAGGCACACTTTCTGTAACGGAAATTCCTTATCGAATTAAAACTATTTAGAGAACGCCAAATGCGCAACACCGCACAATGAAATCAACAGTAAGTGGATACCGAAGCTCCGGCAAGGCTTAGCCAACTTGGTGGCACCTACATACAGATGTGTGTATGTATGTATCGTTTGCGCACTACTTCCGGCGGTCTCTAGTACATTTCTTCAGAGCTCGCTTTTACTTTTTACTACACAAGGTTGTAGATTGAAATTTAATTATTTTTAGGAATTCATGCACCAATACGAGGTAAAAGCTCTGACTTACACAGCCACTTGTACATAAAAGGTGTTTCTTTAAACTTTAGAAGATAGTTCTGAAATTAGTTCAATAAAAATGTTACAATTGTAGTCATTTTGGGCCAGCATTCAGGAATTTCTCTGGTACATAAAATAACTTTTCTGGTTTCATTCAGTACACATATATATGTATGTAGTTCATAAATCCACATGACACCCACTTTTCAAAGCTTTTTTATATTTGAACCTAAGCTATAGTTTGATCGACTCAAAAGCGACACGCTTTCTAATAAACAAGTATGTATTAGATATATGCATATTTATATACATACTTATGTATGAATGTACATATGTATGAATGTACATTTGTATGTTGGCGCCTTATCAGTATCCAGTTCCGTTCTAGTCGCAATGTTCCCATTTTATTTGTCCATTTCTTATCCTAAGCTCGTTAATGGCTATAGCACAGAGTGGATATTTAATAGTACGGAGGCTAACTGTTTTATATATGTATACAGAGAGTATGTGACATTGAGCATTGTTAAGCGTGCGCTTTTGTCGCATCTAGTTTCTAGTTTTATGAATGAATTTTTAGAATAACAACAGGAAATATGAATTTCTATACCTCTACATTAAAGTGGATAGAGTTGCCGAACACATTTGCGTACATAGTAGCGGGAAGGTTTATATATATATACACAAAAAATTCAAATATGACAATTAAATTATTTATTCGTTTAAAATATTTTTGCGGTGTTTATTTTTTACAATTTTAATTTACTCCTATAAATTTAGTGGTAACAAATAATGGAGGCAGTTTACTTTTATATCTTTTTTCACAAAAAAATAAAAGTAAATTGAAACTGTTTTAGTTACATTCACATAAAATTTTTCCATGACTCAATTAACAGGTAAAGCTCTCCGCCATTGTTTTCGACATTCGGCTGTCTTATACACAGTTTTCAAATCAAAAGGCAGTGAAAATCAATGTAATATTTTTCCTCATCTTGTTACTTCTCCTGGCACTATGCGATTCCACCATGAAACTTTTATATTTTCTTATAAATAAAGTGTTTGAATTTATTTATATTTCTTATGAATTTGTAGCTTACAAGCAACTTTTGCGCAAATCACATTTTTGGCATGTTTAAAAACCTGGATCCCAATCTGTCTGTTGCTCTTCCATGCGTGTTGTATAGCACACAATGATATCGCCCACTTGCGGTACGACTTTAGTGTCTTTGAAACGCAAACCACATTCCACATCTTTTTTGATTGTATCAACTTCGTTTTTCAAATGACGCATTGACTCCAAATGTCCTGTTCCAAATATAGGACTTCATTAATAGGTAATAATTATAAATACACAATCTTACCCTCATAGATGGTCTCGCCGTCACGTACCAAGCGGAATTTCTGCGCTTTTTTCAATACGCCCTTCACACAGCGACAGCCTGCCACAGGCACTTCTTTGCGTCCTTCGTTGATGAAGAATTGTTGTAATACATTAGCTTCGCCCACTATTTCGTCTACTTCAATCGCAGGCAGTTTGCTGCTAAGCTCATTTTTCAGATCATCTATAAGACGATAAATGACGTCATAGCATCGTATGGTCACATCTTTAGGTGCGTTTGGTGGCGCAGGCACCGAAAATCCATAGATAATGGCATTGAACGCTTTAGCCAGTTCAATATCTCCTTCTGTCACATTTCCTACACCATAGTGCACAACGTCGAGGCGGCAACGCTCATGGTTAGTATAGGTGTCGAAGACATCGAGTAATGCCTCCACAGACCCGTGCACATCACCCTTGACAATAATACTTACGCGTGGAACGCCATCATGTTCAGTAGTTTCTTTCTCTCGTGGACCGTACCTCATCCGAAATTTGCCAGCCAATCGCCGCGCATCTCGCTCGGCCCGGTACTTTGCCAAGTGTTCTTCCTCTTTCTTCCGAATTTCTTCAATAGCTTCTTCTGCCTTGTGATTTTTCGACTCGTGCTCACGCCAACGCAAAACGGAATGCGCCTTTTTCTGGAATTTATACTGAAAAAGTTAGTCTAAATCAATTTCACATAAAATTTTAGAGCATGCCTCGGATTCCACTTCAAGTATAATATCACCAGCAAATGGCAGCTCACGCCAACCTAAAATTTCAACTGGCGTTCCGGGTGGAGCCTGCGTCATAGGCTTACCATTGTGATCAAAGAGACCGCGCACTTTGGCATGCGCCAATCCACTCACAAGTACAGCTCCTTTTCGTAACGTGCCACGCGTTACAATTGCAGTGGAGAGCTTTCTTAAAAGAGAAGTTGCTACAATAGGTACGGACGGACAGAATCACATAAAGCTTACCCTCGATGTGAATCTGTTTTAGATTCTACTACAACGCCTTCAATCAGTCCAGTTGGATCTGCTTTCAGACCCATTATAGTCGCTTGCGTGCTAACAGCTTCTGTTAGGAGTTCTAAATTTGTGCCTTTCAACGCAGAAATGGGAATGGCTTGTATGTCACCACCTTCATCCTCCAACACTAATCCCATTTGCATTAAATCTCGCTTTGTTTTTTCCTAAAAAGAAAAAACTGTAACTTCTCTGATCAACTGAGGATTTAATACTTACAATATTGGCTTCTGGTTTATCAATTTTATTAATAGCTACAATTATTGGCACATTTTCATTTAGCGCCAATTGTATGACTTCACGAGTTTGCGCCATTACTCCATCTTCGGCCGCTACAACCAACACAATTATATCCGTGACATGTGCACCACGCGCACGCATGGCACTAAAAGCCGCATGACCCGGTGTATCGAGGAACGTTACCTGTTCGCCATTGGCAAGTTTAACAGTGAAGGCACCGATGTGTTGAGTAATGCCACCAGCTTCGCCAGCGGCTACAGCTGCACCACGCAGGGAATCTAAAAGAGTTGTTTTGCCATGATCTACATGACCCATAACGGTGACAACTGGTGGCCGCGGTTTTAAAAATTCTGGTGGTGCTGGCGGACGGGGTGTCACATCATGATACTTGCCTAAATCTGTGTCGTCATCATGTTCTTCAACAGGTGTGGAAACAATGCGTGACTTTACTCCACATTTATTACAAATTTCTTGAATGATTTTGAGGTCATCCAAACGCGCATGTGGTTCAATATTGTCTGCACCTTTTACATACAACATAGCCTCCTGTACATCATCTGCAACGAAAACTCTTACAATAATTGAATACAATATAATGCGCGCCGGGAAACTTACCCAACGAACGCTGTAGAGAATCTGCCAGTTCTTGAACCGAGATGTGTCGCCAAATATCAACTACACCTTCCAGTTTTGCAACACCTTTTTTCTTTTTGGGCGAGTATTCAATTATGCGAACTGATTTCTGCAGGTGAAAACATTTGATTTATTTTTATTGCGAAAAAACTATTGCATTTTTACCTTTTCTTCGACAGTTTTTCGGCGCTTCATCAGCACATCACAGGTGTAAAAACTACGTCTTGTTCCATTTTCAATATGAGCTGTTGAGGATACTGGCGCACAATTTGGAAGTGGTTGTCCTACAGCTAATCTAAACCGCCGCGTGCTGCTATAGTGGCTGCGTGCTATTGACCCATGAAAACTGCAAAGGGATCAATAATTTATTATCAATAAAGCATGTCAGCACAAATCTACTTTCTTAATCTTATTTGAACATTTCGTCAATGCTTCTTCCTTTCATTAATTATAAATTAATAATTTTACTTACCGCGAAAACGATCGAAAAAACATTTTACGTAAAAATCACCAAATGTCCCATAGTCGGCGTAATTTTTTGTTGTTTCAACAGCTGTTTTCGAAGGATGCCACATTAGTTTAAAATCATAATTATTTCGCCGAAGATTGATTGACATAAAAATTTCAAATGTGGCAATCTGAATCATTATACCAGATGGCAGTGACTTTGCTACCTATACAGTTGCGACATCTGCTGCTTCCCCATTTGAATTTCAAATACGATTGCAGGGCCACCTGTAGGTGAAATTAATGCTGCGGCTATGTCAAATTTTATTTGGGTGAATTTGTTGCCGGGTGGTTCCTAGTTCCGATTCCGGCTGAGTGAATCCCCAACGTTTTTAATGCTATGTACTTCAAAACCGCAAGAACGCACATATCTGTGCGATTCTATAGAAATGGAAAATGTCAATTGATAAACAAACGAAACATATTTTTCAACAAAATTTTTAGCATTTCCACAATAAACATGTTTTCTTTTCTTATGTTAATTATTGTTTTAAGGTATCCACACACCTATGCGATTCTGTCGGTGTGAATCTGTCTTGTCTTGTGGACATAGACATTCGGTGCAAGTGGAATCACAATCGGATGTAACCAGTCAGGTACCCAGAAAGTAGCTTGATGTCATTTCTATTTTTTTTAAATAATATCCTTTCTGTTGAAAGGGTCGCCGGAGAGCCAGGGCTGTATAAGGCCCCCATCACTTCCCAGTACTTACTGCGTTCCGAGTATACCCACTCAGTAATTATGGCTCTCGAAGAGGACCAACTGGGTTCAACAACCGAAAAGGCAGTTAGCGATCCTTCTCGTGCCATCTCGTGCCATCTCGTAGACGACTTGATTTGAAATCTGACAATTTTTGGATAACCTTGCACTTTAATTTGATATACAACTCAAGTCTGTAGCTACACCAGGCATATCCTCCATTGCCGTCTTAAATAACCTAATGAAAGCGTTATGACCGTGAAGAAGTTCTTGTGGCAACCATTGTCTGGTCCGATGGTGAACCGTCCTTGAATGTGTATAGTAAAATTTGCGGCAGTTTCAAAATGGGGGAATATCATTAGTCCACAGAAATCTAACATACATGGACTTATTTCAGACGAAATACCTTAGAAGCAAGCAAGGTAAAGCAAGGACCGCAATCGTTCTGGTGATTGATTTAACGGTGGTAATTTAACTTTGATCCTTGGTGTCTCCGATTGCAGCTCTTTTTGTACAAATAGGACAATGCGACAAATCGGCCACGCTTACCTTGCCTTGCCCCCTCCATCGCATTTCATGGATGGTGGTGATGTCAGTCTTTACTTTCCCGAGGACATCAACCAACCGGGCAGAGGCACCATCCCTATTAAGGGCCCGGATATTCCAGGTGCATACCCTCAAATCATAGTCGCTCCTACCTTTGCCGTGATCGTCATCAAAAGAAGGGGGTATCATCCGAGGCATTGGTTTTTCATTGGGTAGGGTTTTAACGTGCAGGGACCCAAACCCAGCGCACGCGGGGTGACAAGTTTTTTACATACAATAATTAAAAATAATTTTTTACCAAAGGTCCAATTTCGAACTTCGAATGCCCATATCTCGATTCGGAGGCTAACTTCGAAAAACGGAGAAATCACTTTTTTACTTAAGACTCAATTTCTCAAAAAAGTTGGTTTAGCTGTACAGTGTTATCTTTTCAAAACATTTCTTCATTTTCCATGTTGTTCATTTGTATGTATGTATGTAAAATTGGTAAAACAACAACAACCACGCGGCAAGTACTATCAATGTATGCTGACACAATCAGTGCCGCCGCTGCTTACTGCCATTTAATTTAATTTTGAATCGAGTTGTATGTTGAAATGATTGCTCCTTGACAAACAACGACAGTCAAACGACGACTATCTCATACGCCAGCCATTGAGTCAAGTTATCGGCTTGGCAGCCTTGCTTGACAGAGTGCAGGCTACCCGGCAGGCAGCTCGAAAAGCGACAGCGCATCTGTTTGAATTATGATGGAGCGCGCAAATATTCCAGATGCAAATATTTGCAGGAGAACTAGCTGTAAATACACCCTCGAAACGCGTAGGGTATGTGGATCTGCTGAGAGTTGCAACAATCACCTCCATCAACCTTTATGTGACTGTAGAGTAGGTGCACTACAGCGAGAGTTCCGACTGGAGAGCGTCGATGAACGTACATACATATCTATTGGGCAGAGGGAAAAGCATAACAGCGATATAGTATGTAAGGACATATGTATGTACATCAGTATGTTTATATGTGCATACATATGTAACTGCTGAGTGCCGGTGCACTTCGTGTAACGGCTGCGTAGGAATGGCTAAAACGTCGAATGCACGCTTGCCGTTGTGACTGAATGACTTTTGTGTCAACGGAAGCTGAAAAAGCCAGGAACAAGCGTTGTGTGCATTAAAATATCTGTATGATGTACAGTTACTGACAATAAAATAGAATCAAGTGGGTTGTTCCGAAACAATCACCTGTTAAAACGGGTTGCGGTTTTTTTTTTAATTATAAATTTTTTTTTGCCCCAGTGTGCAATAGTAAGTTCTTATAAGGACTCTCGTTGGCTTACATGACATAAGACATTTAGTTAAATACTTACAGATGGAAATAAAATCGAAAATGATTAGTATTCCATATAGTATCACAGCGCCAGTGGCGGATTTACAAGGAGGATTTCGGGTTAAAATTCGTTTGGCATCCATATTGTAAAATTTCGATGAACTTATGGCTTAAAGTAGAATTTAGTTTTTTAAACAGGTGGCATCACAAGCTAACTTAATGCCAGCCCAAATGCTTTATTCTACAAAGAAAGACCAACAGATATACTAACACACTCACAAACTATCAGATTTATAACATAAGAAGAATTTCATTTAATTGTCAACAAAATCTCTAAACTGGTGGCAACCCTGTTCAAAAATATTTTCCAAATAGTTAGGTACAGCTTAAGTTAATCCTCTCTCGTTTGATACCCATATTCGATATTTTTATGACTTATTAAATAAATTGATTTTGAAATTCCAAACAGGTGGCAGCTATCTTTTGAAAATATTTTTAACCCTTCTCTCAATCCGTCGGCCATGATTTTTTTTTGAAGTTTTCCAGCATTTTAAAACATATCAAATTGAGAATAAAAAAAGAAATTGTCCAAAATTATTGTTGCTTGGGATTGGAAATGGGAATTTGTGTGTGAGTTTGTGTTTAAATTAAAAAAATGAAATTGCTTAAAAGTGTGTCTCAGCGGATCTACCTTACTATATTTTTATCATGAACAAAGCTTTTTTAAACCTCTAACGTTTTATACCCATATTAAAATATTCCATTTAATTTGTTTTTGAACTGATTTTAACTTTTTCAACAGATAAATGGAAAGTATTTTGTACTTTTTTACCACTTATTTGCGTTCCTCTAACATAGTTTATTATCAATTGAATTGAATCACAAGGGACGTTAATAAAGAATACGATGAATGTTTATTTTCAAAAATCCTTTGAAAAATAACTGAGTTATTTAACATTTCATGGAAAAAAAATGTTGTCTATGTAATCGAAAATTTTTGATTCACCGTTTTTTTCTTAATTCAGCATCATCAATTTCTTGCTGTTGTTATAACAGTATACAAATTCCTCCAAGTTTTCGGCCTCTTATAAAACTGGGTCGTACCTCTTACGTAGAGCAGACTGTCCCGACTGTCGTGGGAACGGGTGGTCACCATCGGTGTCCGCTTTCACTGTATCGCAGTAAAGCCCAAAATACAATAGCGCAGTGGCAGTGACTGGTTTTAAAATCAGCTGTTACTGCTAATATTAATACGGTGTTGTCAGTGACTACTTTTTTGACATTCCCTTTGGTTTGTTCACACTTTTTTTGTTGCATTTTAAGATTCAGTGACATCAACAGAAATTGGCTGCGTTTCATTTATGTCAAATTTAATATGCGAAGTTTGCTGCGATGAAGATAGTGGCAGTGAATTTAGAATTTGGGCTAAACTGAGCAGTACTGCTAGCTGCCACTGCTGTATTGTGAGTCGCTTCATTGGACACCACACTTTCTAAAAAAAAACAGCTGGATTCGAAAAACTGCCGCTGCCACTGCCACTGCATTATTATATTTTGGGCTTAAATTTGCAACCGGGTCTTGAAAGTAAACATTCGACTTACGCGTTATTAAACGCCAATTTCGAATCAGTTCAGTTAAATTTAAGTAATTTTAAAAAGGCGAAAAAAGCAGGGACGTGAACCGGGTGAAAAATTTGGCATGTGCGGTTAAGCAATGTGAACCATTTTTGCACGTTTTGATTAGTTTGTCAACGCGTTTTTTGCCTTTGAACCGGTGATTAGGTTCGGATCAATAATATATGTATTTGACAAAACAGAAAATAAAAAAGTGGAAAAATTCGATGAATCGAAAAAGTGGTTCGGTTTTCCGTTCGGATCAAATATTTATTGAAAACTATGTTTCGGATAATGGTTCCGTTAATTGGTAGAAAACAGGATTAACCATCCGGTTCGAACCCGGTTAACATCCCTGGAAAAAAGTGAAAACATCTTTTGGGTATTCATATAACGATAAATTGCACACAAATTATAATTTCATCGGCAGTATGCGACGTTAGATGAATACCCGGGCAAAATTCGCCCAGTGTATTTACCTGAAAAATGTTTTTGTAAACTTTTTTTTTCAAAATATTTGCAATAAAAAAAATTTCGATAGATTGTTTTATAAGCTGTCCAACCATATATAACTTGTGTTGGCCGTAGTAAAATGTCTACTAGTTTTCCATAATAGAGCGCACTCGGGTCCGCCTTGCAGCTTTGTGGGCAATAACCCAAGTTTACAGAAATGAAAAAATTGCCGCCCCTCCGAAATTGTTATATGCATCCGAATGTAAAATTTTCCACTGAATGCGAATACCAAATCCAAATGTTAAAAAAAATAAAATTATTTTTGAGATTTAGCCGAATTTCGGGGTTTTGAGATCTTAAAAAAGTGCACACACTTTGGATGCGGTTGGTCAATCTTAAATTTATTTTTGCATTAGTAAAGGCTATTAAATTTGCTATCA